CTTCATCAGTTGTGATTAGAAATGTAACGCGTGGGCACGTTGGCCTGTCTTGTTAAGATACTTAACAACATTACAAAGGACCTCGTTTACAGTGATAATGACACTTCCCATTTAAAACATTCAGAAACTGTAGGCTGACTTAATGTACGAGCTTAGAGACTTTAGATGATCTCCGATGAATTAAAGGAAGATAAGGTTCAAATTTGAAATTACATTTTTAGTGTGATTTTCTGAGTAAAAGCGGTGCCTGAACTCCAAGAATGCTGATGAAATAAACATCACGATTCGCTTCGAGAAGAACCTTTATAGAGGGCTTTAGTTCGTTATCAAATGATAGTTCCTCAGCTGCTAACAGTGGTAATATTCGGATCGGTGTTTACGTTGCTGGTAGGGGGTGGGGCAGTGCTTAACTGCTATTCCATACTCCTTTACATTTAAAAAGTAGAAAAGTTGCCTTCCAAACAGGTTTTTCTTGAATACTTTAGATTCGTTTGATATGCATCCATGATGATCGTGGATTAAACAACGTCATGCTGATATATTGAAGGACAACTCTCACCGAAAGTGCGAACTTCAACGCGATAGCCAAACCGAAGGAAGCAGCTGTTTCAGGCAGGATAGTACTGAAGCCGAAACGTGAGCACAATCAGAGATTGTAATGTCCAAGTGTCGGCCCTCTGTAAGACAGCATGCTATGACTATTCGTATCTAGCCAGTGATTAAGAATTCGGAATGATGAGACTATTAAAAAAGGAGGAACTACATATTTATAATTCGTAAGGCATTTTCAATACAACTAGCATAGCTTTGATGTTGAATCCGGTATGGTTAGAATTACAAATTGCAAAATCGCATTACCGTTTTAAGGGTCGCATACCTGCTTCTTTTATATGGTCTGTTTTCATTCAGCTTTACTCCTTCGCCGGAAGTTCTACTTTTCTGAAATATCCCTCAGTCGAATACGGATGTGGTATTTAATGGAGCATTGGTTAGCTACTGGTGGAATGCAATTGGAAGACGAAGCGAAATTTAAGATGTTCACATAACCCTGTGCAAAAGCTTTCCCATTAAACACTTGAACGGCACAGATCTGAGTGCTTATGTTGTAAATCAACTACTAAAGTATCAAAGGAATTAATAACTTCCGGGCGTTCTACAGTGCGAAACGACATCATCTTTGTTCGTGTTGGTGAAAATGCCGCACTTTAAATTAGTTTGTCTGAGTGAAAAAGCATTTTAAGTTGTCTGTAACACCTAAAGAAAGAAGCGTGGTAGGCCTACAGTTGTATGGTCACCGCTCCTCACCACTTTCTATGAATGCAAGCCACTGTGAACACTCACCGTATGTCTCCTGTCCTTAGTAAAGTCCTGAATCCCATCATTTACGATTTCAGAGGTACCAAAACCACCTAACCTTGGTAGATGACTTGTCAAAAGCCTTGGTAAAACCTAAAAATACAGACTGCAATAGTGGCACAACCCTCATCTGTGCAACATTCCTGTGCAATAGAATTTTGATCAAGCAGGAATATCCTACCTCAAAACTGTCATGCTGCCTGATCAAAAGTTTACTAGTACTGGCATGCTGATGCAAGTGTGCAACTTGAGCACTGTGGTAGAATGTAATTCTATATTAGATAACTTTATTTCAAATGTCACACAATGATGCAATGTTAATAACCATTGGATCTTCAAGCCGACAAAGCTTATCTCCGAAAGCGTCGGCTGGTTGCTATAAATGCCACTGATTGACAATCTTACGTAAGAGGCTCACCTTGGACGTAGCTGTTAATATATATCAATAAAGTCCAGCGGAACTACTGGGTTTTACTGGGGTCAGGCTTCAGGAGCAACTTTAATACATTTCCCTTCTCAACGTGTTGATACCCTATTCTTAGATAGACCAATGGAAATTCTGTTACGGCGCGTACAGCTTCTGTAGCAGACAGAACGTGCCACATATAATGGCGCTGTGATGGAGTGACGCAGACAATATGTGCCAACAGAATATCATTCTCACATATTCCCACAGTCTAATTCGGCATTGGCAAAAGAATACTGCGTACACTTGAACATTCTATTTCATGTCGTTTGATGTAAACCAAAATCACACGCTCAGGGATTGATTAAAGAATATTAACCATATATGTATATATATATATATTGAGGAATAGTTGGCTGGATTGACCAGGAAGAGAATTTCGCCAGATTATCACCAGATAAATTTGTGAGGCCGTAACTGACTGGAAGGGTGGGGTGTGGTTTCACTTTTCCAAAGGTCTTCTCTTCACACGCGCCAGAAGTCTTTTGAGTTCTTACCTATCTGTGAAATATATGCCTTCCTGGATTGGTAATTCAAGTCTAAGCCTGATTTCTGCCCCTGCAGTATTTTGGGCGGAAATGTTTCTACTCAATAGAGGTAGGAAACTTTCATGACCTTACTCTCTGCTAGAGGAAAGTAGTTTGCTGACTTTTCCGGAAATCTGTGCGGGAAAATTTCAGATGTAGCGTATTTATGTGTTTATTCCGTGCATCATCAATGGACGAGTTGGTATTGACTGCCCAGTTGACAGTCGAAGTACATTTCTTTTTGGCTGCAGTATACTCACGTCAGACGTCGGAGTAAAACCAAGACCAAACCCAGACTTAATTACTATTCCTTATGATAAACGATAACACCCCACATTTATTATTAACTAATGGGGAACGAAGAATTTGCCTATATAGGTTATCTGTGTCGCGCCTTAGTAACAGGATTAAAAGGGATAACCTTCAGTTGGGTTGGAGCATATTTGGCATGAAACATATTAACCTAAGGTTTTCGCCATAACAGTCGGGCGTAACCTTTATCAAATGTATCAATCAACTCCGCAGAAGAAAGAACTGCTCAGTCTAAATACAGTGCAATAAAGTCCACAAGAATGATGTGGTTGTTGGATCTTTTCAGTTGTCTAATGTGCTCTAATATGAAGTTATCACACTGATTATTTGGACTTCCATGTAGTACTCCGACAAAGCCCATCTCCCAAGTGGCTACTTCGGATGTCTAGCTTTTAGGGGCTTTAGATTTCTAGTGGCGGATGAAGAAGGAGGAGTCGATGCAGCGAATCGCTCTACTTCAGTCTTGTGAGAGGAGAATTCAGACGTGACACATTCAGTGGCATTTCATACACAATTTCAGAACTTTCCACACCATTCGCTAGTAGAGTTCAGTCGAAAAACGAACGTGGTTGGTGTGAGTTACTGGTTAGACTCATGGAATAAACAGTTCTTGAAAGGGTCATCTAATTTAACAGATTTTTCCAGGTAAATAGTAATATATGTCAATATGGTATCCATATAAACAAAGAATATTGACTTAGCGCTGAACGTAACTCAACGAGCGTTATTCAGTTTAATGAAAACAAAACACGTAGATCAGCGAAGAGTCTCTTTTCGGCGAATTCATCTTCTTAGCTGTACAATCACAAATATATATGCATTGTTTTGTATGTATGTGTACATTAAGTTTGTCAGACAAAGTTACAATCGGTTAAGGTTAATTTTAACTAAACAAGTGAAGGTTGGTAATACAGGTCAAGAAAATTAAGTGTTAGTGAAACTAGGGTAATAACAAAGGTGGTGAGTTGTCACAAACAGTTGTAATAATACTAGTGAGTTTTACTCAGGATGCACATAGAAACAAAGTAGAAATTATGTAAGAGATCTAAGTGGATACAAGAATTACAATTGCTTAAGGTTATTTTAACTAAACAGGTAAAGGTTGGTAATACAAGTCAAGACAATTAAGTGCTAGGATAGTAACAGACAGTTGTTAAAAGAAGTTATGCAATAATAATATGAATATTTTGATGAGTGAGTTTTACTCAGGATGCACATAGAAACAAAGTAGATAATACGAAACTATGTAAGAGATCTAAGTGAATACAAGAATTATAAGCAACTAAGGAACAGGCAAGGAAACAAAATTAAGTTATCAAAATAAAATAAAAATAAAAACTCAAAAAAATCAAAACATTGTTACCATGAGAGTAGAAGTGGTTGAGTAATCTTCTTTTGTATGCACAGCTCCGGTTTTTCCATGTGAATGGCTAGAGCTTCAGCGATACAAAGGAGACGAAACCGTATTGCCTTTGACATGTTGTTCTTGACTCGGTAGATTACTTTGAAGGAGGCGTTCGTTGAAATGCAATGATCAGTGCTGACCAGGTGTTCAATTATCGCACTCCTTATTGCACCAGTATTGCCTTTTCGCAACCATGCTGGATAGTGTTCTTGAATCCTCTTGGACAGGATGCGTGTCGAACGACCGATGTACCTGGCTCCACAGCAGCAGGTGAACTGGTATATGCAGATAGAAGTGGCCAGATGCGGGATCTTGTCCCTGAGGCTTCTGCAGATTAGTGGGCGACTGGAGAACACTATTCTTAGCGTTGCTGCATAGAATGTTCTTCTCAGAGATGATGTGATCCTTCTCTTGAGAATATCGCTTGCTAAATCTCCCTTGAAATCCAAGTTCATGTAGATTTTCTTTTTAGGCGCAGTCAAAGTTTTGTTTTTCCGAATTATTGGTTTCATATTTTTGTCGATAAATCTTATTGGGTAACCATTTTGGATGAATATTTCTCTCAGAATATCTAATTCTGTTTCCAGAACGTCGGGACTACAGATGCGTCGGATGCGGGTAGCAAGTGATTTAATTAAATTCCGCTTTTGTTGAATGGGCACCCAGCTATAGAAGCTTGTTAGTTGACCATTCCACGTAGGTTTTCCATGGATTGATCTTCTTAGGCTCCCATCAGCTCTTCTTGTCAGTTCCACATCAAGAAACGGAATTTTTGACTCGTTTTCCATTTCAAGAGTGAATTTTATTGCTGGATGGCAATTGTTAAATGTCTTCAGCAGTAGATTGGGGTCGTTGTTGTTTAATGCGTTTGTAGTGGTTCAAATTTGTAAAAAGCGTCAGTTCAAATACCGGGGACCTCTCGATCTGCAGTCGAATGCCTCAATCCTCGTTTGATAGGGTGGGGTTTTATTATTTCATTTTTTGACATTTATTACTTTTTAGATTGCTAATCTCATTAATGAAGCATCTTTAACACTTTCAACTAGTGTTAAAGTAACTAATTTGCTTCAAGTGAAAGAATTGCTGATACATCGCGAAAGCTCATTGTTGGACAGCTTTTTTGAAGTACCTAGTTTTTCTCATGACTTACACTCTTCCTAGGAGGTTGTTAAATTTCAACATGATCCCAATTCGGAAGTTAAAAAAGCTGTTATTGGCTTCATCGAAGAAGCTTGGTAAGTATTTTTGCGGAAATTTATGAACATACATTTTAATATATAAGCACTTCACTGAGAAAATTTTAAGGTTTAAAAAGTATTTGCTAACTATTAAATAAATTTTAGATGACTGGTAGTGCCTATGACACATTTCTAACTTATTTGTAATTATAAGAATTGACCATTTTCGAGTCATTTGTCATATATCGCCAATGTGACCCCACAAGAAGTCCAGAAATTCATCTTTCGTGACAGTTTGCACGTTCAGTCTCTGTGTGAGCTCATGCGACAAAAATAATAAGCCTTAACAATGAAACATTTACGGCGCTTACAGATATTAGCTAAATAAGTTGGTTAGATCATTAGCTTAAAATATTGTACCAGTATCTATCCTGACTATTCTTTATCCTCTTTAAAAAAGTAATGAAATATATAAAATGATATTTGTAGCCCAACTGGTAGTCAAATTGCTGATCTATTCCTTCCAGATAAGTTCACTCTTCAATAACGAATACGACCTGTGTTGATAAATTTAAAAGGCTCAACCTACTGCAATTGCGTGACTGTTTCTCAAACCTGTTCTTTTGCGATTAAATGGGAATGTTGTTACCCTCAACACGCCTTATATTCCCTTCTGTGTCATGACTTCACAACTTGCACTGTTTTTCACCGTCCACTTGTATAAAATATAGAAACTTAGATTGTTAAAACGTGATACCAGCTAACATTTCTAAAAATTCTTTACTGTGAAATCATCCATCCATAAGCTGTAAAAACGATTACTCATGGGTAAGACAAAAATTAACCGCATTCTGTTTCAACAACTTTTGTGATGTGTCCACTGTAGTCATTTCGCAGCACTACTTTCCTTCAGAGTCCTACTGAAGTCAAACTTTGAGACTTTTACCATTAAAGCCATTACATTGTCAGTAAGGTTACTTGTGCATTGTCTTTTTATACTGCTTGTATAAATTTATAAATGGGTTAGGAGTTGTAGCACCTCTAGTTTTTTCCACTTTTCTGGCATGTTATTGCTATCCTTTTCGAGGAGTTACTGTGTTCTCATCACATGTTATTTACTTTGAAGTTTACCGGACTGATAAAATAATCACTGTCCAGCTCTCTATTATCTCGTATTTATGATAAATAGCTCAAATTCTTGAGATTATCTTTTTATTCATCAACTCTGGAATACTATTGAATAACTTGTCTCTCTTAATTCATATATCTTTCATTTACCTGCGTTTCGAAATCTCAGATATTTTTCCATTTAAACTTCATTTTGATCCCAATAAGTATGATTTTATCGACGTCAGTTTGCAGTGTTTTGTGAATAATTTAGGTCATATGTATAAACAGTGAAATCTGAACCACCTGCGTCAGTTGAATTTTTATAAAAAGGATTAATGCTATGCAGTACACTTTCCTATAAGCTAGACTGAATTCCTGAAGTAAGGGTTGGCGTGGGAGTGGAGTTTCAATCTGCAGCCCACTATTTAAGAGCCATGTTTAAAACATTGATGCAAAATATTCACGACAGAGATTTCAATAACCATTTGTAATAATTACCAATCACATAAGCCTCATCATGCCATAGTTTGAAAAGACTGCCTATAGTTGATAAGCTGTATCCTCACATGAAGCTGTGTCTCATTCACCCGTGGAAGTGGACCTTCAACCGATTCAGCCATGGGTTCGAATCCCCATCCATCTGTCGAGGTTTGAGCATTTAGGTAGCTTCACTTACACATGCTTCAATAAGGGTGGTTCGTTGCCAACTGCATGGAAATTCAGGTAGTTGTTGAGTCCTATGTGTCATTCGTATCACGCTTAAGTTTTCGCGTAGGCTTCATTCGACTATAGAGGAGAGGGGTGCTGACCTTCATATGAAATTAGTGTTAATATTTCTTAGCACTTTGCATATTTTCACAGTCTTAATAATCATTCTGGGAATTTATCTTACTGTTTTGTGGTTTATTTGAGTAAAATCTCACTACTTGCCGGGTTATTATTTACACATACCACTTAGAGTTAGAAAGAATTTTAAGTGCTTTAATCACAGTGTCCTGAGGATGTTGGACATTCTCTACAGTAATGTTGATCACTTTTTGTTGAATACCTTTGTGAATCTTATGGTATTTGGTGGTAAATATTTTGACAAACTTTTCCATTGCTTGAATTATTTTCTAACTTTGTAAACATATTTTTGTAGTTAGTGATTAGGGCTTTTCATCAGTAACAATTGTTTTTACTTGAGATTTAAGTTCAGACCTCAAACCCCAAAAAACAGCACTGTGTAACTCTGAAGAGTTTCATTATGAAACAACAAGCACTTCAACTCAGTAATTATAAAAAGTGAAGTATTTGTATTAAGAGGCATGCTGTGGTTGTAGGTTACCGGCTTGTGGTTGACAAAACACTAAGACCCAGTAGTGGACAGATGATTTCATACAAAACAATGTCTATTTGGTGCATATTGATGGTTAATCTTCGCAAACATTTCAAACGCTGCATTACTTTTTTCTGTCTTTCTCTATTTTTGTGCTACAGTCTAACCACTTGTAGTGTCAGTCATTGTTTTGACATCTGTGACACTGTATGGTTTGCCGACGTTTTGGTAGAGTTGTCCTGAGTTTCATTGAGAGAGACCTTTTTTGAGAGATATTAGATCTGTGAAACATTTCAGTAGGAGCTTGTGAGTTATCTACCTACAGACCCAATTCTAGGTACATAATTCCGGCGTTCAAATCCCCGCCAACCTAGTTCCGTTTGGACAAACAGCTAACATTATGAACCCACACATATGTATTGTACGATTCTCAGCCTAGTGTTATAAGAATGTATGCGTCAATGTACTGCGTTGTGTTAGTTCTTTTTTAAGCAGTGTAGTTTAAAAATGAGTGCTTTGTTTGTAGAAACATCGATGTTCTAGTCTGTGACTTTCGTTACGTAACTACTTTAATTTCCACCGCTTTAATAGGAAGTGTAGTATACCTAATATGCCTGAGTTGCGTCGACTTGTGTGGACTAACTTCTAGGCTCCTTCAGTAATTGTTCACTTTAAATATATTCTTTTTTATTCCTTTACGTTCCCCAGTGGAACATAGGGCTTCAAGCTAGAGGCTTGGAAGTTTCGGTAGCAGTGGTGTTTATTTTTACGGGATGGGATCGCTATCCCCATGCCCAGCCTTCCATCTTTGCCAGTCTTATTACTGGCTTAACGAGGTTAAGGAGTGTGTCAGTGACCGGGAATAGAACCCTGAACCACATTCGTGGTTGGCGAGCACTCTACCGCTGTGCCTCCGACGCACTTTATGTGTATATATATATCTCCGAAACAATAATTCAGTACAATCTGGAATATGTTAGAACTTACGTCGTATTTTACTTTCTATATTATAGTATTATTATTCATAGTGGCTATATGGCTGATATCGACCTAATCATTCGATTCTCAGCCGATGGGTCTTGCATTCGAATCCTGCATCACCTCTTTCAGCCTAGTTGTTATCATCAGTCGCCACATATCAAGTATAGCTGATGACATGGTACGTGAGATATCTCTTCCGCGTAAAGCAGTAGCAGATGATGATGATGATGATGTAGCATAGCTGTTGTACCACAAGGCTTCAAAATGCCAACATGCTGTCAGTGAAAAGGTTGCTAGTACTCCTTATCGATCGTTGTTAACAAGAAGTGTGCTCAGAAAAAGAAAATGAAGGCTTTATTTTATGCAGTACTCACACTTTATTCCATCAGAAAATTATTGGTAGTCATCCTTTCTCTTCTTGGATAATAGGATTTCGTGTTGATTCGTGATTTAAAAATGCGTACTGAGTCCTATGTGGAGTATTTACCTTTGTTATTCCACCGTAAGAATACCATTTTCTCACCTAGAATTCTGTGTATGCCGAGAAATTTTACGATTACCTGAATCTCGATTTATGTTTAAAACCCGAGTTTACATTTAATAGTTTGAGAAAATTTTTTAATGTTTGGGTATATGATATTCTTCGTTGTTATAAAGTGGTTTCGTATTTCCCAAATGAATGAAAAATTAGAACGATATTGTTTTTTTTATTGAAGTTTCCCCATTTAATACTGCTATAACAGCTTTATCAAAGCAAGAACAACAGTTCGTGCAGAATTAGGCGTTCAATAGCGATTGCTTCAGCAAACTTTAGGAGAACGGAACCATTTTGCATATTGATAATTTTAAAGGATTTTGCACCCTTCGCTCCAAAAATAGTGACAAAATCAATACGAATATGATAAGAAATTTTAGTGTGTAAATACACGCTGTTCTTATAATTTCATACATTTATATCTCAAATCCAACAGTCTGCACACGGTTTGTTATCTTAATCAGTTCCTGGTGTAGACGTGATATATGACTGGCTGTCGACCGAATGGTGTGTGTACTCCTCAGCACTCCGCTCCGTTTTCCTTTATGGCTGTGAGTGAGACATGGCCATTAAGAGTGAAAGACATGAAAGAGCCTGGATAGCTGTCTTTGATCATAGGTGCCTGCGTTCCATCTCCCGTGTCAGGTGGTGGTATAATAGGGTGAGCAATATTGAGGTTAGGCATCGGTCGAATGCTAGGTAAGGAGGGAGGGTAAATCGATAAACGAGTCCATGAAGCAGCTGCATGTATTGAGATGGTTAGGACATGTGTTACTCATGCATGTCTAGCCATCGCCTTCGTCGACCGACAGTCAATGTTAGCTGACATAGGATGGGTCAGGTTGGAAAAGAGCCAGTGTTAGTCAAACCAAAACCAATATGGCTTCATCAGTCTATGAAATCTTTGACAGTTAGTTTAAACTAATCACGTAGGAAGGTGTAGACTGCTGTCTGGTTGGGGTCCTTGGGAGGGTGAAAACCAATGACTGGAAACAATCGGTGATATATCTCAAAATCGTTCTTAGTGATTACGCCGATGCATCCACTCCTTGTGACTTATAATTTACATTGAAACTATATTTTTCTTCGTTATTACTATTCCTTTGTCTCATATCCCTGCCTGCTGTCTCTATTATGCATTTCTTGTACTTTCTTCTCTTACTTTGTGTGCTACACGGAGGGAGTGTGGCGACTTAAACTGCTGCATATCGGTGCAAAGTTCTATGGCGAAAACAGACAGACATATTAATCAGTTTACATTCAATTGACAACTTGAAAGTTATCTCTGGTTTAATATTACTTTGATGAATGATGACGATGTTTTTAAACTCCTTTGCTTTTTACATGGAAAATAAGTCTTCAAGATTGACCTCTGGGGTTTCGGTAGTAGTGATGTTCATATTTTACGGGGTGGAATTGCTAGCCTCATGCTCAACCCTTTCTCTCTTTGCCAGGGTACACTATCGGCTAAGCGAGGTCTAGGAGTCCGTCAGCTGGGAATCGAACTCCCGAGGCGAGTATTCCATCACTGAAACACCGAGGCTTAAAAAAACCCAGAGAGTACTGGATAGCAGTTCCATCATCCTGGTGCTTGGAACTCTTCAACAGCACTATGCATCCAAGACCTTCAGGTTACAAACCGAGTTCGTACACCATTCAGTTACTGGTACACTAGTGAAGGTATTGGCAGCCCTAAATAGCCAAGCATCAGTAGAAACACTAATATCGTTTTGTTTTTCCATTCATTAGGAAATACAAAGGTTTTTATATTAGAGAATGTTTATTTCCCAATTTAGTTTTGTCTGATATTGTGAAACATGATTTGCCTTTGTGTCCTGCCCCCAACCCCCCTCCTTAATCTCTGTTTTTTCTTTTTGCATTTTACAGTCGTGTTGATACAGGTCTGCTAAAAAGAGCAGTAGGCTCATTATTCTATATCTTTTCTACAGCAATACAACAAGAACCACCATCTATCAGTTTATTAAAGCGTCTTATGTCATCAATGATCCCGATCTATCGTACTGCATTATCATGTGCTGTTAAAATTGGTATCATTGATTCTGGTGTAGCAATTGGCAGTGGAATTGGAATCACTGCCAATTCAACAGCTGATATCGCCTTGGAAACATTTCGTAGTTTAGCTGGACTTAAAGATGAACTTGTCCGATTAATGTTACCAATGGAAGTATCAGGAACATCAATTTTTGGTCAATATCATTCTTCAGTCGTGCATAATGATGTTATACGAATTCAAGCAATTAGACTAATTGAAGTTAGTTCATGCTTCTTTTAATTCTTGTTTCTTTTATTTTGCTATTTTTTGTGGCTGTCATCAAAGTGTTAGTTGCATGAATTATTATTATTCCCTTGAGTTTTGAGTGGAATTGACTATCCGATTGACTGAATGGTTTCAACATAGAACTTTGTACAGGAGTGTAGCACTTCAACTTATGACACTCGATATCCCACACCAAAGGAAGACAAAAGAGGGAAATAGAAAAGATTCAAAGGAACAATAATAATCAGGCATATGAGAGAGAAAGAATAGTAACGTGAGAAAAACACATGAGGGTTTATTGGATATTGGAGATCACAGAGAATGAATACTACAGGACTGGACTACATTGACTCCTAGCTTAGAAATAGGCAGGAGTGAAGTGGTTGGTGGGGCGTGTTGACCACTTCACTTACTTGGGAAGTTGCATCAGCCAGTTCCAACGAGATGATCGCTGACGAATTTTTTATTTTGATAAATCACACAGTGTTGTATAGTAATATTAACTGATGACCACACGCTTCGAGCACAATTTATTGCCACTCATAATCATATCAAGTCACTCACACAAACAAACACAAGGTGTAGCAATGGGATGGATCATCACTATCCCCCATCTAACAGATATCTTTATAGACAGCTGGGAAAATATTGCTCTTAATACATTTAATCCTACTCCAAAAAATGCAGTGGAGGAGATATATGTATGACACATTCACAGTGTTAAAAATAAAGCATATATCTAGCTTCTTCACACACACATAAACTCACTAGTGAGGGGAATACAATTTACATTCGAATCGGAAAACGAACAAGGAGAATTAGCTATGAAGTTAGATTGTAAAATCAAACGAACAGAATAAGGTAAACTGCACACTGGTGTTTATAAAAAGCCAACGCATTCTGCTCATGGATATTTCGACTTTAATTCATCTCATCTACTGTTATCTGTAAAGGTAGGCTTAGCTAAGTGCCTAACAAACTGAGCAGTAGTACTAAGCAGTATGACAAAAAACGTAAATAATGAAATGAAACAGATAGAAGAGGCGTTGGTGTTAAATAACTAACTATCCTGTCAAATTCATTTGAAAGATCACTAAAGACCAAAAACAAAATAAAAAGAATTGTGAAACTAGTAGTGATAACATAAATGAGAAAGAATATAAGACATCTACAGTTTTATCATATAAAGAGGGGACATCTGAGACTTTCTCTACGTAGGATTCTTAATAAAGCAGGAAATACGGTGGCGTTCAAACCTACAAGCTCTGTAGCCTAAAGAACCCTGTTGGTTTGACCAATTAAACAAAATAATATAATTTACAAAATACCCTGCAATGACTGTGAGTTAAGTCAACTACACAGGTCAGTCAAACTAGTAGATCAGGCAGGAATAGTGAGATTATCAGAACATAAGAATTTAGCTAAGGTTAGAATGATTGATCCCACCCGCGAAAATAATGAGTTTAGACAACAGCTCAGCAGTAGCACTGCATGCATTAAGGCAAATTTCAAGAAGTAATATGAGTAGATGGAGAGAGAGACACATTAATTAGTGAATCCTGCCTGGATCATCGAGTCTACACACCCAACGCATGCGATAGAAGTGACTCAATGCAAATGCCAGAGATCTAGAAGAGATTATTACCACCAGTCAGTCAAATCAGAGGAAGATAATAAATAATAATAATAATAATAAATAATAACGTCATCAGTAAACATTACTGTATAACACTGTTAGACTTAATCAAAACAAAATTTGCCCATAATGGAATTACACTCTACCACAGTGCACAAGTTTTATTCTTATATCGAGGATAATAAATAATGTTAAAATGTATTTAATTCACATTTCACACAACACTCTAACAAGTTATTTATTTATATTACTATAAAAACATCGTATTTCCCATCTTATTGACTAACAACACTCGTCTTATTTCCCAGCCCATCGTATTCTATTGATAACATTAATATTATTTCCGAGTGTACTTTATCTTGTATTGATTTTATTCAAATGTTTAATCAACTTTACTCATGTATATAAATGAAGCAAGAAAGTTGTGTAAGTGTTGCCTTGATATGATTATGAGTGGCAATAATTTGTGCTCCAAGCGTGTGGTCATTAGTTAATATTTATTACTGTATAACAAGCACACTGTGACTTTATTCATAACGGAGTTATCCAAGAAGACTTTATTGTTCTCCCATATGACTATTCTTTTTGCCTCATGTTTCTGTTTATTATCTCTGTTTTGAATCTCTCTTTACTCTCTTCTCTTGCTTTGTATGCTAAGTGAAGTGTGTAAACTTGAACTGCTGCACATAGGTGCAAAGGTCTACGTTGAAACCAGTCAGTCAGTCAATCAGTCTTCGCCAGTCGTTGAGAACAGTGATTTTGAGCCATATCATCAATTGTCTCCAGCCTTCATTAGTTCTTACCACCATCCCGAGGATCCCAACCAACCAGAAAGCTAGTCTACATCTCCCTACGTGGTTGGCTGGCTGGCTGGTTTAAACTACCTGTTATCGATTTCACTGACTGACGAAGCCATGCGTTGGTTTAACCACCACTAGTAGCTCTTTTACAACCTGATACATCCTATGTCAGTCAGCTTACATTTAACGTCGAGGGAGGTGATAGCTTGTCATATGTAACACATATCCTAACCATCGATTGATTTTCTCTCCTTACCTAACACTCAGCTGAAGTATAACCTCAATATTACTCACTCTATTACGCCTGTCACCTAATGCAGGGGATAGAACGGAGGGAGACACCACTTATGGTCAAATATTTGAGAGTAACATAGAGCAGGGCTTGAGTAACAGAATGTATAGATCTTGGAAAGAGACGTAAAATTATGGGTTTATAAGACAATTAAAACATTACGTGACAGATAATGGAAAGTGTTGAATAGGACAGAGTTTAACACCGCCAAAAATGTGTTTATTTAAAAAATAGTAAATGGGATAGTTTGAAATAATGCCAGAAACTGTTCAAGATGGAAACAAAAGTGATAACAGGATATTCGTCATGAGCTGACATTAGTTAGAGAACCATTGGAAAACCTGGGAGTACTGGACAGCTGTTTCGTCCTAGTTTGGGACTCTTCATCAGTACGCACCCACCGGGATTCGAACCCAAACTAGGACGAAACAGTTGTCCAGTACTCCCAGGTTTTCCAGTGGTTCTCTAACTAATGTCAGCTCATGATGAATATCCTGTAACCAATCAAATCCCTACAAACCAACACTTGAAAAGTGATAACAGTTGTAGTAATAAGGGAAACGTACATAGACTAAATAAACAAATGTTTATCTCTCTACGTCTAAGGTGTTAACAAGGACCGTACGTGCTTCTTTGTACACGAAGTCCTGGCTTGAGTTCATGAATGGTCAAGGCATCCTCTGTCTTTAGAAGCTTACAACAAAGAAAATATGGCAAGTTAGCATGAATTGGATAGACGATCTTAAAACCATATTCGTGGTTGGTAGTCACACACTCTTTCCCGTTGTGAAGACATACTAGAATGTGTTCTCTTATCCGTGTAGAAAGCATTGTCTAGCCACGATCTATTTACCCTGCTCCACAAGAGCAGGTGAACTGGTAGATGCACATAAAGGCAATCAGACGAGGTAGCTTTGCACACACTTCCTTTCTTCCTTGTAAAACCATTCAGGAATATGTTCTCGTATCCGTGTGGAAAGCGTTCTCCGGCTACTACCAATGTACCTTGCTCTACAGGAGCAGGTGAACTTTGATAGATGTACATGGAGGTGGTCGAACGATGGAGCTTATCTTTGACAGAGACAAAGTACAACTTACGACTGGTGAATGTCATTTGTAATTTTCCAGTAAAGAACGTCTTACTGAGTGATTTAGACCGACGATATTTCAGCATATCTGAAGCTTGATCACCTTTGAATTCCAAATCCATGAGTATGGTTTTCTTTGGAATTGAGTTAGTGACCTGTTTGAATTGCTTAATTTTCGTGTTTTGTCAATAAATCGGTTCGGGTAACCGTTTTCTGCGGGTGTGCCTTTTCGGAAGTCATCTTCTGAGTCAACACAATCGGAACTGCAAATATTTCTTGTCTTAAAGCAGAACTAGCGGACTAAATTCCTTTTCCTGGAGATAGGCACCCAACTATAAAAATCAGTTAGTTGTCCATTCAATGTAAGTTTCCCGTGGATAAATGTTTTGCAGAGATTCGTCATTTCGTCTACTAAGGCACACATCAAGAAAATGGTATGCTTTTCTATGTTGAATTACAAAGAGGCATGGCAGTTGTTGAATGCAAACAAGATATCATCAACAGTTACGTTCTTGGTGTGGTTGTGTTCTCTGAGCTGGATGGTTTGGTTGCGAAGCTTTCATTGCTCTACTGAGCAACATCTTCAGCGCATACTTCGATGTGAAGTGAGCTTTTAGAATTCTCTATGAGTTTATTAGTCATCTCTTCTGCTAACCTTGAACGTGATTGGTTGTTTTTGTGTGACTTCTCACTTTCTAGTTCACTTGTTTTGGTGTTAACTGTTTCTTTGACCTGAAGTTTGACTTTGTTTTTGTGTGAATTTCTTTGTATGGATTGGTATATTTTGTCAATCTCTATGTGTCTATTGATTGCTGACTCATTTGAATACCAGGCCTCTAGGAATTCTCTGGCATTCTGGCAGAAGGAATGACCAACGACATTCAGACCAAAGAAGCAGCCAGCACCGAGACAAGCAAACTAGGGGATGAAATGTCACACGAAAACAACCAATCACGTTCAAGGTTAGCAGAAGGAATGACCAACGACATTCAGACCGAAGAAGCAGCCAGCACCGAGACAAGCAAACTAAGGGATGAAATGTCACACGAAAACAACCAATCACGTTCAAGGTTAGCAGAAGAGATGACTAATAAACTCATAGAGAATTCTAAAAGCTCACTTCACATCGAAGTATGCGCTGAAGATGTTGCTCAGTAGAGCAATGAAAGCTTCGCAACCAAACCATCCAGCTCAGAGAACACAACCACACCAAAATCATCCACCTGAGCTACAAATCTTCTCTACTACAGTTACGTTCTTATCGCAGATAACGAAAGTGTCGTCTACGTAGCTTCTATAAATGTCAAAGTGACTGGTGGTCCAAATAAGTTGAGTGTTTTCAAGCCTTCCCATAAAACAATCAGCGATCAGTTAGTTGACCCAATGGTGATCCCATCGCAATGTCATCTCTCTGTCTAAAAATCTCATTATTAAAACTGAACTGAACGTTGGACATCCGTCTTAATAAGAGTTCGTTCAGGTGGATTGTTGGCAACCCTATGTCTTTAAACTGTGTACAGCAATATTAATCACATTCAACATTATAGTTTTAGTATTCACACCTTTGTTTAAATTTCCTCACGAGACTTAATTTGTTAATAAAGTCATTGAAAAGACTATTTTCGCTGAATACTGTGTTCTTAATAGTCCATTAGTTATAGTAATTAAAAAAATATGCGTAATATTCTAATTGTTGTTATTCCTTTTTCAGAGTGTAATTATTTTACACTCTCGTCGACTACCCAACTCTGAAATCCCACGTGCCAATGAAGGTGACATATCCTTAGATCAGATACCAGCGCTTACAAATACCCAATTACAGTCTATCTTAGAGGCGAGTACAGCCGCATCATCAGCTACTCTTCTTCCCGGTGTCTGTTTAGTTAGACCTCATCGATTAGCAGAGGAAGCTGAACGTTTATTTGCAGGTTTATCAAGTTGGCCGGTGCGTGGAAAGCCTAGTGTTACTGCAGGATCAGTTACTTGCCCAGTAGTTGAAGCAGTAATGGATTCATTAGTGAATATTGCAAAACAAAGACCACAATTTATGGATCGTGTTGTACAAGCATTTGAAACAGTTCATGGTAAGTATTTATTCTTCTGTATTAATTATTTACTATTATTGTATCTTTGGGTTCTGAGTAGAACATAGGACTCCAACAGTACATCTCCATTTCGTCCCGTTCTCTGTAGTCCTCTTCAACTGATCACACGACTACTCATAAGCTTTCATCTACTTGCATGATGATCTCCTGTGTGTCATCTATGGACAGCCAAGTCGTCGTTTCCCATTTGGGCTCCACTCGAACGATGACCTGGCAAGCGATGACATTGGACGGTCTCCTCAGCGTGTTTCCCTGCGTCCATCTCCACTTTCTTCTACACATTTGTTGGTAGTAGGTTCCTGATTGGTTTGTTCCCAGAATTTCTGGTTGCCAATTCTTTCTGACCTGCCATCTGATCTTCAGTAAAGAGCCAGGGAAGGTGGCAGCTGTTGATAAAAGCCTGCGAGAGCTTGTTGGAAATACTTATCGTGACGCTCCAAGTTTCTGATGATCTATATAGAAGAACTGACTGACTGACTTAACATTGCTGTTGGAAATGCTATTTCCAAACTGGTTTCAAATCGATGCAGACGTATCTTGTCTTTCCGATTCTGGCTAAGCTTTGACATGAACTGACATCGGTTAGGACGAATACTCGCCACGGATGACATTCGCTAGTGGTCGCGCCATATCATGAATTAGCAGAAGTTGGAATTCGTGTGGTGGCCATTGGATCGGATGCCAGTGGTTTAATGGTCTACAAGCTCGCCTTGTAACCAGTGGGTGCGTAATGCTGAAGAGTCCCAAACTAGGGTGAAACAACTGTCCAGTACTCATAGGTTTCCCCCAATGGTCCTCTAACCGATGTCAAATCATGATGAAATCCTGAAGCCAATCAAATCCCTGCAAACCAACACTTGAATACGGTAGTAATCGTTAAGATGCGCATATACCTAACTCATAAAAAAATGAATGTTAAAGTGTAGCAACAGAAGACAAGCGCCAGGCAACAGATCGTTTATTAAGGAAATTAAAGCATATTTATATATTTTCATGTACATTATTATAGTTTAATTAAGTAAACAACACAGTCTTCTGATTGGTTGTTTCTCACTTAGAGTTAATCTTCCATCTTTTGTGACTGTTTCTTGAATGTCAGATCATCTATATGTTAACTGTATCCGCCTACGCAAATTCTGCTGTGGTCGGTTTTGAATCAGTCTTGTTAATATTTTCTCACGACAAATCGTGAGAACGTAAACATTGACGTAAATTACTGTGTACCAATTTGGCTAGTAGACAGCTCTCACCACAAAAGGAGTGGTGTTATGTCGATTCCCCAGTTTTACTGTTAAATTATTATTATTGTCCCCTTGGGTTCCTAGTGGAACATAGGGCTTCAACTGCACGTCTCCACTTGCTTCTGTCTTCTGCTGTACTTTTCACCTGCATCCATGTTAGTCCATACTGTTTCATCTCCTCTTCACACGATCTCCTCCATGTCACCCTTGGACGTCCCACTCGCCGCTTCCCTTTCGGGTTCCACTCGAGCGTTGGCCTGACGGGCGATGTCACCCAACGGCCTCCTCAGCGAGTGTCTTATCCATCTCCACTTTCTCCTGTATATTTGTTGGGCGATTGGTTCTTGTTTTGTTTGTTCCCATAGTTTCTTGTTGGTGATTCTTTCCGGTGGCCATCAGATCTTCAGTATAGGGCGAAGACAGTTGTTGATAAAGGTCTGCAACAGGCTGTTGGAAATATTCTTTGTGACCCATCAAGTTTCTGATCCGTATGGAAGAACTGACTTTACGTCGTTTATATTGAAAATCCGAATTTTGTTGTTGATGGTGAGTGATGAAGATTTCCAGATTGGTTTCAGGTTGATGAATGTGTTTCTCGCCTTCCCGATTCTCGATTTGACATCCTCGTCCGTTCCTCCTGTAGTTGAGACAATGCTCCCTAGAAAAGTGAATGAAGTAACCTCTTTCAAATCCATCGCGTTGATGGTGATTGGCACTGGATGTTGCTGTTGTTGTTGTTGTTGTTGTTGGTTGGTTGGTTGGTTATTTTCATAACCTCCGTCTTGTCTATGTTCACCTGGAGTACTGTCTTTGCTGCTTCTTCGACCAGTTTGTCGGTTTTCGCTTGTTAGTTTTCGATTTTGTGTGACATCAAACATAAATCATCCGTAACGATCCAGGTCTTCTAAGTTCTTCACGTCGGTCCAGGATATCCCTGTCTTCTCGTTTCCCACTGTCTGACGCATAATCCAGTTCACCACAATTAGGAATACCATTGGTGATAATAAGCACCATTGTCCGACTCCTGTGTTTACTCCAAACGGCCTCGCTGAGTTTTCCGTTAAATTAGGACTAAGTCATTTTCGGTAGCCGGCTACAGACTTTCATCAATAACTGGGTTGATACCAAAGATCATCAGATGACCGGTGGGGAAGAATAAGCAGGTAATGAATCAACCAAGAGCCTTGTTAATTCCTTTCCTACCTGTTCATTCTCAATCTTTCCTTTGTTCAGCATTATACTACTTGCCATTAGTGAGTAGTATGATTTTTATATGTTAATTTATAACAATGACATTTGCTTACAACTGCAGTTAAATTACTTGTTCTATTATCATTCTATTAATGTATAGTTCTTATTTTTCTTCTCCTTAAACATTATTTGCTGACCTTACCCTATAGTGTATGCTTTACTATTAAAAGTTGTTTGTTCATATTTGTTGATTCTTTGCTTGGCATTCGCGGGCCGCTTGAAGCGACACGTGGATCGACCTTGACACAGCATTGCTGTTTTTACTTATTGACTGCACAGTGGTTGTGCATTTGACGGCATTTAGCCACAGACACCTCACATTTTGAGGTTTGTATATTATATATCTATTTTTATGTAATAAAGTACCGTATTGCAGAATATCCTGTATTTCGCACTTTACGCGTCACTCTACGTGTGGTTAAATCTATAATTTGGATAATCGTTTCGGATTTCTCTCGGGAGAAATTCACAGTACTCAAAGTTGGTCTTGTTGATCTATTTGGACAATTATCAATGCCGGTTACTCGTAGTATGTCTGGAAAACTGGAAAACGCTGAAGAATATCTTCGAGTCAATTTATCTTCACCACAATTTTCTTCTCTACCTGTTTCCTTATCATCTGATTTGGATAATTTTAAAAACACCCCTCATGTCAGCCTAGGTTTTGATAATGTTGCTAGGGGAGGTAGTGTAGTAGTAGACTCCGATGTTGATTCGAATGTTGCTAGCGAATTAGAGATTCTAGAGCTTAAGGTTCAAGAGCTGAAAGACGCTATAGTCAGTTTCAAGGTCATGATAGGTTCCTGCGTCGGCTGGTTATATGTTTTCGTGAATTCGTTTTCCATTGAATTTTAAAGGTTTTTTTGGATGTTTTACGCATTTTGCAGTGTGTGGGTCAATTTCTGTCACTGGATGCTTCTATTTCTAGCCTGAATTTCCTAGTTATTATGTTGGTAGTTAAGGATTATGGTAAATCTGCAATCATTGAGCCATTTCACGTATTCTATGCTAATACAGTAACATTCCTCAGTAAGTAAACTCCTTAACTGTTCTGCCATGGTTGGATCAAACAGTGGCAGGACAGTTACGGATTATTTGCTTAAACTGGAACTGTGCGCTGGTTGTTCAGCATGACTGGCACCAATTCAGCACCTTACTCTTCTTCTACGCATTTTCAGAAGTAGCTTATCGGCCTTACTGCAGCCCTTCTAGTCTAGGTTCTGCTCCTCCCAAGCTTACCATAATGCTGAATTAAATCTGACTAATTCTGAAATAATTCCAACGTTCTATAGTAAGTAAATTCTGAATCTGTTCTTAAATAGATTCTTGAATGGCACAGCCTAGAACTCAGTTGTGGTTTTCAGCATGACTGACACTAATCCAACACCATGTTCTTTTTCTAGACATTTTCAGGAGTAGATCAGAACCTACTGGTTTTGCTTATCAGCTTTATTTAAACCCTTTCAGCTCATTTTCAGCACGGACTAGCCTTACTTCAGAACAAAGAGACTTAATTTAGCACATAGTGGCAATTTTTTGAGCTTAACTTTGGAAATTATATTTGGAAACTGTAGTACAATGTCACTGCAAATCCGTCAAGTTAGGTCTACTGGTAGCATCCTGTAAATAAGCAAAATAAAATATTAGTTGATGAAACATTGTGCTCATCACATTCTCAGCATTTACATTTAGAAAAGTTTGCTTACATAACTGCCACTGTTATATCCCCTGCTATCTTTTCCATTTGCCTAGAAATAAAAACAATGTTGTGATTACTACATGTTGACTTAACGTTGACTTATAAAACGAAGCGGGCGTTTAACAATATCACCTGAATTCCTTTCTTCAGGTTACGCCTTTGGACACGATCTTTCAAATTATGGAAGTACGATTTCGTGGCCTAATCCATTATGTCACCAACCTCTCTCGATGTCATCAGTTGGTCGCTACAGAAATAAGTACTTCATTGATGAACCTTACATCTCGTGACTGAATTTCGAACATCTGAATATCCCTAAATTCCTTGATTTAAATGGTGTAGTAAAATCATCACTAAAATCACAGTAGGGTCGAGAGGGTATCCTCTCTTCACATTCCATTTCAACTATATTCCCCGGTTTACCTGAGGCCAAGATTATATTGTCCGGAGAATAGGAAGTAAATATGGTGTTCAGATAAGTTAACTTTCCTTTGCTTAACTTAACGCCCTTAGTACTAGCTTCTGTAGGTACATGCTTAACACCTGTACTTTTCATTAAGTACACGTGCTCAACATAACGCTGAGCTACCTGCTTAGCCACAGCATATCCACAGTGCAAGGACTGTCTTATCCTGCGCATATAGGATTCAAAGGGAAATGCACTGAATCCTTCTAATGCCCCATGCAGCTCGACGTCATCCACTGTATGTTTCAGAAAATGAATATTGTAAACAATATGTTCATCTCCGAAACAGTTCTCATCTTGCAGTAAGGAATTACTCAAATCTGTCCGAACAGCATCCAAAAACAGTCAGCTGTATTTGGTAATCGAAAGTAAATATACTGACGGAAAATTTCCTATAATTATCGTACAGGGGAGGGGAGAGGCAGAATGTTCCTGAGTAGGCGAGACCCAAATATAGCAGTTTTTAGAAGGACCAGGGTTATATCAGTACATACTGGGTTCACTTCAAGTAGATAAAATATTCATTTACCGTAAAAAGGTATTATTGACGCGTTGGTTAGATTTTGCTGAGAATTGTTGCAAGGTTGGTCTTTTAAGTGTCCCAGGCTTACTATACTATACCTCCAAAAGTGCATTTATACCTCACAAACTTATATTCCATAGGGCCAGATGGATCTTTTTTTACTTGTATCAACCCGATAGGATGTGTTTGATTCCTTTTAAAGAAATAATGAACAATTTAGTTGTTACCTTCATAAATGTATCAAAAGCTTACTTAAGTTGCACCCACGTATGAAATACACAACTAAGCATTATTCTTTGGAATACAGCCATTAAATCAGACAATACAGATGACACTTTTCGTGAAGTAGAGGCTGCAGGAGTATTTTGTAACGTCATGTAATGGTTTTAACAATGACTAACGAACACAACATTATAAATTCAAGTAAATGAGTAATAGTATATATTTCAGTGCCCATAAACCACTGTTGTGACCTAGTAAATTTAATTGATTTATGCTGACGTAATATGCACAAATCCCACAGGTCACTGAACTGACAACCTAAAAAGTGGATCAGTTAATACATATATATGTGCTAATTAAATACTCATTAATTGTCTAGACATTGTGGTTTAATCACATTCCTCTAGTAAGCAAAAATGCACACGTCCTATTTTAAACTTAAAATATATGTATGAAAATTACCGTTGTCTTATATTCACTTACTAAACATTCTCAGACATCTCAATGAGTCATGTTCGTCTAGTAGGCAAAAATGCACACATCCTATTTTAGACTTAAAATATATGTATCAAAATTACTGTTGATTTATATTGACTTACTATACATTCTCAGATATCTTAATGTACCTTTATTCATCACTAATGCATCCAAATAGCGTGTGAATTATCACACCACACTCACACCCATAAAATTAACACGTGATTATATTATGGTAAAGTACGTTCAATTAAACTGCCTATAAATTTCCGTGTCAAAATAACAAATTACCGCTTAACTTATATTTTAGACCAATAGGAAGCCAACTAGCCAACAGCCAATCAAAATCTGCCTATATCTATTTTCTCAAGAGCTTAGACTTCGCAGCAAACGACGAAAATTGGAGAGCGAGTGCTCTCAACAAGCTAAGACTACAGCCAGCTGCGTTCGATCTTGCGCCAATCCTTCGAAAAGCCAACTTCTAGACGGTAGCACCAACTATTGCACAGAGCAACCACCAGAGTCAAATTGTACTGCCACACCAGTCCAACCACTCCTGAACTCAGTTAGCCCCATTAGAATGCCTCAAATTGAGATGGATAGGTTCGATGGTACACCAACTAAGTTCCTGAAGTTTATAAGATGCTTTAACATGTTCATAGGAGAACAAACTAATGATGACAACCTACGGTTAATGCATCTTATACACAATTGTGTTGGTACAGCCAAGGAGGCCATAGAGCATTGCATTCTACTGCCCTCTGAGGTAGGCTATAGAAAAGCCATGGGGATTTTACAAAGTCAATTTGGCCAACCTCATGCAGTTTCGGATGCTTTCCTCTCCGAATTACTGTCAGGCCCACAGCTGCAACCTGAAGATATAGTTGGGCTACAACGGTTGTTGAGACAGATGACCAATTGTGAGATAGCCTTATCTCAGATGAATCACATGGCAGATTTGGACTGCTCTACCAACCTTAAGTGCATTGTTCAACGTCTCCCCCGGCACCTACGATGGAAGTGGGCAGAATTGGTAAACGATGGTTTACAGTTTGCTGAACCTAGCTTTCGTTACCTCAAAGAATTCCTCGAAAGGCAACTGTCATTGGCTACAAGCTGTTACGGCCAGATAGCTAATGGGAATAGGAACAACAACGAAGTAGGGTCCAATGATAAAATGTCCAGAGCTATGTCTTCGCACAGTGTTAATGTGGTGAAGTCACGAGCCTAGAAGTCGTGCATAGTTTGCTTCACAGATCACGACTTATGGGAATGTCAACGCTTTTTGTCGATGAGTCACAAAGAGAGACTAGCAGTGTCAATGCGGCATAAGGTGTGCTTCAACTGTTTGAAACTTAATCACCGAGCTGACACTTGTCGTGCAGCAAGAGGTTGCGATATAATGGGAT